CTGATCCTAGCGGTGAAATGCTGGAAATGATGGCCCGAGATCGAGTTATCGTCATTGAGAGCAAGTAGGCATCAGGAATTCAACTCCTTTGTCTCAGTTTGCTATTATGTCAACGTTTCAGCACTTTTTTATGGTATGGTCAAAACGAAAGAACCCATAAATTTGGAAAATTTCCGAGATCTTCGGTTTTTGTAAATACTAAGTCAATGGCTTCTAATTTTCATCGTGACAGTGCTGCTCTTGGTGGGAACAGTAAAATTTCGCTGCCTATTCGAGGTTAGTTATGATATAAGTCTAATATCTACTATATTGGTTTTTGATTTTGAATAATATAAATTGACCTCTGCATTGAGTGTTCTTATTGATTTGGGTGTTCTTATCCTCTAAACAATCCCATTTTCTTGTTCATATCTCGCGGATTTGGCTAATCAGCGCTTACAGTCAGCGACGGTTTCGGTCACTTGCATATGAAATATTAAGAGGAGATTTGCAGAGAATTTAAAATATTAGAGGCCTTCCCCAAAGTTTTCTTCTTAACGCGATTCTCATTAAGCTTTAGACTGGGTATATATGCAAGATGACGGGACGCAAATTTCATTTTTGAAGGGAACTAGGAGAAATTTTGTCGTGTGCTAGCATTTTCAGCGTAACCTCTAACTCATCTTCCAGGTTCCTTCATTCATGCTGCTCATGGTGATGTATTAGGCAACCAATCTTGGGGTACACCAGAAAAAATTGATGATGTCTACTTGAAGAATCCGATACTTGGAGATCCAGTGAACCTGTGGGTGTTTTATGTTTATCATTTCCCTATATTCCACCTGACTTAATTTTTTTTCTTTGCTTTGCCCAAACATTAGGTTATGTGTAGGAGGTTATGTGTAAGAATTATATAGCTATTCGTTTTGACATTACAACCCAGTAAGAAAATGATCTTTTTCTTCAACATGTGGCGCACTAATTCGAATGTTTTATAGCACAATGATGCCACTACCGATTCCTTCCGCTACAAATATCAATAATACTGCAGAAACAATCTTATCTGGTGCGTTCTTGTGTTTCGGCAGATACGCTCAAAAAGGCTCAGCACTTCTTTACATTTGCAAGTGCGAAAGTTCAGGCATGCCATCGACGTCAAAAGCTAAACATGTGGACTACGAGGATCCTTTTGATACTGCCGCATTTGATGAGAACTTCTCACCCACCAAGATCAAGCTCCCTGAAGTTTTCACCACAGGTTGGCTCAACAGTTGCTTGATAATAGTTTGAATCACGTCGTGATCTAGGACGAGTAGCACCATTAGTACCATCTACAAATATCAGTATTGAAAGGCCGCGACCATCCTCCTCTCGTTCCTCCATCATCTCTCCGAACACTTTCATAATTCCATCTGAGAACGGTATATACATACTTCGATCTCATTGATTATAGTCTACATAAACTTCTTTCCAGGTCGGCAAGAACGTGCTCAAGCACAGATAGAGAAGGGCATTACTACTGCAACTTCAAACATGGTGTGTTTCATATCCAGGTCTTATTTGACAAAGATCGATCATACATGTTCCACAGCTTTCTGGTAGCGATTTTAATTGCCTTTGAACCGACAAGCAGAATTTAATTGGTGCAGTCCAAGGTGATGACATCAAATATTAGGGTTTCACTGAGCTTTATTTGAATTGATTATAGCCGATTTATTAAGTCTTAGCTGGATTGAAATTTCATCAAAAATAAATGATGAAAATGTTAGGAAATTTTGTTGCTGTATACAAGACGACGTAAGACATTCGAATCTTAACACATTTGACGGATAGTGTATTGTTTCAAAGGTTTTGGTGTTCCCTCATCATCGTGAACAAGCACGAATGCATTTCAACTACGAAAAAATCAGCCTCTTTTTGGCAAATTATTTTCTGGAATTTGTTTCTGGGCACCCAAAGCAGAAGGCTTGGTTAATGCTAATTTGAATGAAATGGTTCTTGAAAGTTCTTGCAATTTTTGAAATTGTTCTCAATGAGTATTCGTTTAGATGCCATCTACTTCAAGTTCTACGAATGATATGTTTATGTGGTCTAGTGCTCCGAAGGAGTCAGGTAACTTCTTGATTTTTGAACTATCTCCATGTCTTA